TAGAGAATATCATTGGATGATGTCGAAGAGATTTACATACCGTACGAGACCGGAACAATCAACTTCTAACACGAGAACCCTCGCTCTTCTTCGCGACATTTCCACTACAGAGGAAACGCTGATACAACCGTCCCAACCTGTACCGGAAATGAACAAGCATCAACCCAAGAATTGATTTGCGAGAACTCTTACTTATAGTTTACCAAATAACAAGAAAAAATTTACTTATATTTTTTTTTTAAATTATTCTTTCTCTTGAGAGTTATAACTAATAAATTTGTCTTAAAATGATTGCATCAATTACAAATTCTAGACATTAAAGATCTCTTTTATTTTATATAAACTCTAAAATACTATAACAGTTTTTAAAGTTTTTGTTGTTTCTTTATTACGTTCTCGAAAACGCAGCTATTTAAATGATCGATATCTAAAGGTTATTTAATCATATTTGACCCAAATTTAATTCATAATCATAGTTGGAACTCATGATGCATTCAATGATCGAATCAAAGTGCAACAACCGTGTTAAACGATCGATGCTCACGATTGAACTGAGCCGCATCAATAGGAGCAAATTCTGGAGATGCGGTTAATTACGTCAGAGTGGCTTAATCAAGACTACTTGACTCAAGATAACCAAATGCTAGTTATGCTTAAGTAGCGTGAGTGTCAATGAATGCCAATGTATTACATTATACCATTCGGTTAAATACCACCCATACCACATTCGGATAAATAATCATATTTGTATTGGCTACTGCTTTTATAATTAATGTACGCTAAAGAAATTATGTAAATTATAATACTAAAATCATCATTTTGATATCAAACACGTAGCAACCGCTATTAGGAATAGATTATATAATATTTTTTAACAAATTTTTGAACAAATCGACTGTAATCATTTTCGAAACAGTTTTTTTTTCTAAATTCACACAAAATTCCAGATAATAATATATCCAAAATTATTTTGCACATTTTTCGTAAGATCGGTGAATAGCTTCGTTATTTTCGCTTTTCTGATAAATTACGCTTTTTTCGATGGAAAAAAAAGGCAAAATGAAATGCATGCAAAAAAAGTCAATAAAAAAGAAAGCAAAACGTTATCAAAATATTTTATATAAAAGGATCTCATGGAGCTTAAAAACGTTTGGTCGGTTTTTATCATATTATCTTCAGATATTTTACGATCGAAATGTATCGAGCTTTTCTGGCAATATAATCCAATCTTTCCCTGCAAAACGGCAACTTTTCACCCTTCTCGAGGGGGACAACGCGAACGTGCGCCAATATAATCGTACGAGTGGGCACGGATTCGAGTTCAGGCAGATTTGCATGCAAATCGGATCTCGCGGAAGGTAAAATCTGGAACTAGTTTTTTTGAGACTGCGGCCGATTTTGCGAATTATTTCGACGCGCCAAGACTGATACCGTTCTTTTTTTTCCTTTTTTCCCCATTTTCTCATGCGTACGTGAAAAGTTGACACTTTTTTGTTTTAATACCTTTGTGATATTCAATTATTTTACGATGTTTCAAGAAACAGGAAGTGCGTCATCACTATCGAAAACAGCATATTTTCGTTTTTTAAAGCTATTCCTGGAATTTTTTTTAATGAAATACTAGTTGGAATATCGACTTTTCTCATTTTACTTGACGTTTTTATTACGGTAGAAAAACATGTTAATATCATGCGAATAATTACTAAACGCATTTTTTGCACACTATCGAAATGAAACGTACACTTGAAATGTAACAAAGAGATAAAAGATTAATTGCGTACTTTATCGCGCATTCGGTGCTCTTCAGGATTAGAAGGAGAGAAATATGCGAACACATAACTGTCAGAACTAACTGTCACGTATTCCAATTTGGCATTCTTGCATTTTTAAAAAGCGCAGCATGCATTTATAAAGCTTTATTACGCGACCAAAGGAGAGTAACTAGCTTACAAAGCTCGATAAAAACATTAAACCTATATAGAATGGTACCAGAGAATTGCAGTCGTCTACCTTGCACATGGATTACTTGCACGCTAGGCAAAATATCCTTGAAGCCGAAGGCGCATATATAAAAGGGAGATGCTATCGTAACTGTGTGCTACAAACCACACGTATGCCAAACCTAAACTCGCACGAAAGAAGATAACGAACGAGGTGTACTTACATGTGCTTGTGACTATAAGTATATAGTGCACTATATATTATCACATGTTAAAAAAAGTTCACTTTATGTTACAAAATCAAGATTAAAAGTTAAATACTATTCTACTTTCAGCAGAAATATTTTATTCATTTAATTAAATAGAAATACTAGAAAAGAAATAGAAATTACAAGACACTGTTATTATATAAATATTATTATGTATATGATTGCTTGATAAGGATTATAAGAATTTTTCTGATTACTTATATGTGTTTTGCATTATAAATTATTTTAAAATTTTGTAAAACATGTAAAGTATTTTCATGTTGTATTCTGTATGCAATATTAATAAAAATGAAAAAATAAACGAACTATTAATAAATGAACTTGCTAAATTAGTAGGTCATATTCATGGGGGGCTTTCTTAAATCTATAATTCCGATAATATTGGCTACTTTTATCTATATCACATTAAATAATAATGATTATTACAATGTAAAAAAAATGATTGCATATTGGTAGCAGCAGATCATTTGAAAGTTAATATCGAGTGCAGGAGTGGAATAAAAAATTCCGATACATTGAGTCGTCGATTTGATCATCAGCCGTACATGTAAAGTACAGAATTTCTTCCAGTTCATCCTCGCAAGCATTCACATGCAAATGGATAATCCGTCCGTTTCAGATGGTTGTCCAATTTTTTTTGTTACCTAACCAAGTGATGAAACAGCCAATACGATAGTCGTCCAACGAGAAACGAGGTGACCGTTTCGATATGGGACGACTCGTTTGAAATCTCGCAGTAAATTCGTTTCTCTAACATCTGCGCGGCGGTGATTGGACGGCGGATTGTTCGATAAAGCGGCGATTGGCGTTAGTACTCCAACCCGGGTGGACGAATGAAACCGAGGGAGGGTGGCAAAAGGCTGACTTTCTCTTTCGCGGTTTGTTCGCGCTGAAATAGAGCGGTTTCGTTCTTATAAAGGCTAGTTAAAATGCAGATTCCATCAGCCGCTTCGGATGAAGACATATCTCGCGTGCATCGTGACTGACGCGCGTGCGGCTTTTATATAAAATTGTCTTCAAAGGAAATAGAATTTTAACGAAATTGGAATATCAATAAAGAGAAGAGTGTCGATATAGACGATGTTGAATTTGCTCTGATTAATTTTCTCGGTATAATGCGGGATTGTAATAAAGAAATATCTTTGATACAGACAGTGAATAAAATTCATGTCGTGTATCTCGTGAAATAAATATTTGTGTGAAAATAATTATATCGGTAATAATTAAACCGAATAGCTATTTGGTAAATATAATAAAAAGAATATTTATTATCGATATGCGGATGAATAAAATTCGTCATCAGGTCTGATGAATAAAAGAACAGAAAGCTATATTTCTGTTATGCATGTTATAATCTATACGAAACCGCATCTGCTTATCGACTTTGCAGCTGCTCGCGCCATTTCCCATGGATGTATCCCGTATAACGCGGCGCATTTGTTTATCGCTCACGAAATGACATTTTAATTTTCCGCGACCATTTGTAATAGAGGTCGTTACGAATTTGTGCTGCGAGATGCAGATTCAATTAGATACCAATGACAATGCCGAGTAGAACAGCGAATGTTCGTGACACTGGGCCGCAGGTGTTCGAAACGACCGGCCTCTGTGTATTCGGAAATGGTATTTACTACCAGCGATTGGTCGGAATTCACTCGGACGCGCGTTACATCGAACAATTGCCACAGTACTCTTATTATTGATTATTGCGGCCTTCCTCTCTAAGGATTTCTTCTATTATTCACGATAATGGACATTTTTTCTCTTTCTTTTTTTTTTTTTTTTTTTAATTCTTAACTTCTAGTAGTAACTAGCGTTGGATTGCGGTATTTGAAGGGTACCACGTATGTTGGCGAGATCACTTTTTTACGTTACGTAGTTTCAAAAACGAGAGAAAAGGCAACTCGCTCGCCATCATCACGACACACTAGACAACTCCCGCCGCAGATCTCGTCGACTAAAAAGGACCCTAGTTTTTCGAGCAACTACGTAGAAACCGTTTTATTTCGAATACGTGCGAGCTGTGTTTCCCACTCTTTGTTTCATATTTTGAGGTTGTACATGAAAATACTTTTTTTTATACAAAAATTTACGAGACTTCGATGACATTTTAAGCTTTGTCTATATTTTTTTAAACACACGTGCACGCGTATGTATATCGTGATTTTTTTCGTCGTTACAGTTTTTTACGTGAACTTACGGACAATGCTAGATGTAGATAGTTACTGTTTATAGTCCTTTAATATGGCGCTCGTAACTGGGATGCCAGCCCCGGAGGTATACACGGAAGTGTCGTCACACTTGTTATTTCCCACCGGAAACACGGCATGCGCGTGTATATAGCAGTACAACGTTGTCACACTATTAATCCTTTTAGGATTAAGGTTTACGATATACATCACATATGTAGTCTAACAACTAAGTTTACAAACGAAAACTTATTTATATTCAAATATAGCTCGTTCGTACAGATTAATGTTATCTCTTCCGCAATACGATCCTTTTTCTCGCCTTTATGAATTTATCTCAGTAAAATTTTCAAAAAGAGATACATTCATAAATTAGTACACTGCGTATTTGATAAAAATGCCCAAAATTGTCAAAATAATGCGTGGGATGCAATGGCAAATTAAAGAAGAGCTAAATTCGTGAAAAACTTTTCGTTACGATAAAACGATCTGTACATCACTTCTGGCTAGTGACGTCATGAAATTCTCTAGATAACCACCGGAGAATTTCATTTTGTCAAATAAAACTTGTCCGTGGACAGTTTTGCCGGAAGTGAGTAGGGGAAAACCGCAGGAATTCCATTATTAATCTTTTTCAGAGACACGGAATGCGTTTTTTAAATCGTGCCGTGCGTCAATTTTCAGATGTGCTGCGTATTTCCGCGATGAGCATATTCTCAGCTTAGTGAAAATTTCACTAAGTAAAATTCAAACCTAGCACCTTCCATACTTTTCTCAACACTTTCTTCCTTAATTCATTAAATATTTTTGCACAATTATTAATTTGGTTAAATAATATTCCAAGAGAGAAAAAATACCGAAACGAGTTTTCTGTACTATAACAACACGTGTTTATAAGTTGATAGCGACGTTAGAAAGTGCCGCTGCAAAATTGATCGCAGATGTTTACGAATTCATGTTTCCTAAGAGTGCGCGGCTAATATTTTCATTCGACTTTCGAACTTATCCTCTTGAAAAACTTGAACGGATAAACTTGCTTTTCGAGACTCTTCGACGAACCGTGCGAAACTTTCTCATACTCGGACTTGCTTTTCGATGCGATTAGATTCATCGGAAATGTAACTCTACTCCTTCGAAGGAGCAAAACTCCTTCGTCGAGTCCTCAAGATTTCGAAAATGATCTCGTTACTTTTTTAATTATAGCTTTTGCATTGAAATTGGGATGGTAATCAGTTGCCATTACACTTTACTTGAAATAATAAAATATACATAAATATAATTGTTCTTATTTTATTTTACATTATATAATCTTTTAAAAATAATATTTATATATTTTTAATTTTTAGTATCACGATATTTATATTTTATCGAATTTGTTTCATTTAATTTTAATTTATTTTCTTCCGACTTATTTTTTATAAATAATTTTTTTTAATCCATATGCTACATCGTAGCATTAGTGGTTTTGAGATAAAATAGATTAATGCTTTTACGTTGAACGAAAGGATTTTATAGGAGAAGAGATGTTCAACTATTCTATATATGAATACGTAAATCATTTAATACGGCTTATATATGAAACATATATATTTTACTATATATAAAAATCAATAATCCTTTAATTAATGACTGATATAGCCGGTACTTTATCATCATCATTATTATTATGGTATTATGTATGCTGTCACTAATTATTTCAATCCTGTATTTTATCGGGATAGGAAACGTTGTTGGAAGTATACCGCGAATTTGCTTATTATCTTACTATTTCTCAAAGCTGAAGTTTCAGCGGGCGATGGGCGACGAAAGGGCAACACGAACAAAATTGAAACAGAAAGATAAATCGGACTTCAAAGTATCTTTTCAACTCGCGGAAAACGGCGCAAATACGCGAGCGCGATAGGAGTGAAGGAGAAAATGGTGAATTGGCGTTGAGATAGAAGTGGTATTAATTTCCCCGAATCTCCACCGAGATTCCGCCGCATACTACCTCTGTCTCTTCCAAAATCTTATTCTTTCCTTTGTCCGCGCTCACACAATACGTGCAATAATGCAGTTAATTCCACTGGATTCGAAAGACGCGGAACTTCCTTCCTTTTATTAAATTCTGAACATTCACGGGGAAAGTAAATTCCCGATTCTTAAGGAATTAAATACACAAATACCAAATTATACATCTGAAACAATTAAATTCATAGACATATATATATTTCTCGATTTGAAAAAAAAATATATAATTAATTTCTTTCATCTTATATCTTACGCAAGTTTGTTTTTTTTTTGTTCTGATTATAAATATATAACATTGAAATCAATGAAGATCTTTTCAACGATTTTATATCTAAAAGTATTAATTTCAGTTATAAAATAATTAATATCATTAATATTGTCCTCATTAATCAATTTTATTGATGATGAAAATGTATTTTGAAGTTTGGGAAAATATGTATGTATAAATATATTTCTGTTTTATTTTAGGAGCGGTAGGCGGCGAAGGAGGTGACGAGGATGATAAGGAGAAGGAAGAGGAGGCTGAGAGAGAGAGGCAGGAGGCCATTAGGGAGGCTGAGGAGCGAAGAAAGGAGAAACATCGCAAAATGGAGGAAGAACGAGAGAAGATGCGGCAGGAGATCAGAGATAAGGTAGGTTAGCAACGACGATCTTGCTATAACTTGCTATATAATTTTCGACTGAATAGAGTTTTTGAATTGAGTTTCGTTCTGGAAATTACTAATTTAATTTTCATAAACTCATGATCTCTATTCAGCTAAACTTTCATTAAACTTTGCACTTATTACAGAATTTAATATTATTTTACATGCCAAATTATTGTTTGAATTTATTACTTAGAACTGTCCGAGATAAGAATGTTTCAAAAGAATATTAAAAATAACATTTTGAAAAATATTATTTATTAAATATTATATATTTATTATTAATTAAAGGACTACATTAATTCTGAAACATTAGAACAAATTTACTTTGTAAATATTTTTATTGATTGTTGTTGATTTTATGACAGTGTGATGTCTAATGATTTGCACAACTGCTATATCGAGAAACAACTGCTTGTAGTTTTGCCATTAGAAAGTATTATTTGATGGCATTGTAAATAATATTTTTCAGTTAATTACAAGTGGATTTTGTTCCTGACTATAAATATCAGAGGACGAATTCAAATATCGCCACGTGTTTCTCTCGCGTTTTCCACAAGAGTCCTCGATTTCATCTGGGTCATGTCAACGCCGTTGACTCCGTCCTGACAGGACAATACATCAGGATTGATAATGGCGCGATCCAACGTGCATTTTACATCTCTTTCTCTCTCATTCTCTCTTTATTTTCCCATTCCTTTTTTCATCCACACGTTTATTTCCCGCCAAATCCGTTGAATGCGTTGGAAGTTTTTTGCGAGATCCCGTCGGGGTATATTGTTCTATCCCGTTTGATCAATGCCTCGGACGGATTCTATTTTCTATGTGATTCAACCTGATTGCTTTGTACTCCAGAAAAATGTCAAGTGGATCGTCTGATCGAATCAGCTTTAACGAAAACTCAAGAGTTAATATCGAGTCCTCTCTCTCATGCGCAATTAATTTTTATTATTAATATGGGATAACGAATAAATCTATAAGCTCATGGGGGAACGTATATGAATGTACGGTAGTAGTTGAGTACTTTTTAAATATATTTCTCGTTACGAAATAACTCTAAATTTTATTTTTACAAAATTCCAAAGCTCATTACGAGATAGAAAATTGATGATAGATTTACATTTTCCTTCACCGACATTTGCCCAACTGGATTGGTGGCGTTGGATTTTGCGTGACGTTAATTGGAGTGGAAACGCGATTATCTCGCATGTAAACAGAAAATGATATCGTTGAAGGGACCAAACGCGTAATTCGACGTGTGGGACACAGTTTGATCTGTGTGTGTGTGTGTGTGTGTGTGTGTGTGTGTGTGTGTGTGTGTGTGTGTGTGTGTGTGTGTGTGTGTGTATGCGTGTATATTATACACCAACCGCACTGCTGCAGTATACTGTAATTCCACATGTGGAAGTGGTCGTCGGAGTGGTTGAATGTTGTAACCATTATCATGGCGGAGTTGCGATTCAAATATGGAGAATGTCTTAGATCAATTAAATCGGTTTAATAGGCACATATACTTTAACAAAATCAGATTTAATTCAAGATTCCGAGTAATTTAATTTAATCGAAAACAAATAAAATATATCAAAAAACAATGAGATATAAAAAGAAGAATATAGAGAAATATAAATATTTAAAAATCAACAATCTTGATAATTCTTTAAACATTTCGGGATATCGAAGCTCAATTAAGTAAAATTTAGTCAATCTTAAAGATCTCATGAAATGATAAAGTGACTACTAAAAAGAGACCAGTTAAAGTTGAACAAATGTAATAATGAAGCGAGCGGGTTTCATTACTCCGTAAAATCTACATTAAAAAACGTCTTTCGACGCGACGGCATTTTAAGATTCGTTTATCCCTCCGCGGTTTTATTCGTAAAGCAAGAGGATCTCTCGACGGAATATAATTAACACTAATGGCTCTTTCATCGTAGGCGAAAGACCTACCTTGAAATCCTCCTTTTCGTCTCGGTAGAAACATGATTCTTCGAAAATGATGCGGAAAAGATTGAGACGCGAGAGCCGCGATCTCTCATGAGAATAGAGCATCCACTACTCCTGCGTAGCAGTGGAAGCGGCTTTGGCATGGTAATCGCATTGGGTCAAGTCAAATCCGATTTCCTATCTCGACTAATGAACGAAGTGGGACTTTGTTATAGCAAAGTCCTTGCGCAATTTGAAAATATTCTTTTTATTACTTTATTTGGAAACTGATCTCAAGAATCTGTCATAAGAGGAGCAGAAAGCAGGTATAATATATATTCATTTCACTCACATATACAATATTAATATTTACATATATATATATATATATA